ATATATATTTGGGATCATGTGTGACCAAAGATTTTTCATGAGACCCATAAGACCAATTCTCAGCTTTTAGATTTGATCTACTATATGACAATCTGAACATTCACAACGTCATGAGACTTCTCAATAATCACAAAATTGACACTGTGCAATTTTATACCATTAGATCGTTAGCTTATAAAGTTGATCAATGAACATAAAAAGTGGTCTTACGGGTCTCACGAAAAACCATTGGTTTCACATAAACCTAACCATATATATATATATATATAAAAGGTAGATTCAAATGAAAACGAATTTTTTATAAACATATGAGCAGAAATCTTGACAATTGATTAAAATTTATAAATTTAACCTATTGTTAAAATATTAAAATGTTAATTGAGAAGTGGTTAGGGGCAAATGTGAAAGTTATTATTTACGTTTATTATATTTTACTTTTTATTTTATCTTTTAATTAATTCTTTTACCCCTTAATTTTTAATCTAACTTATCTTAAAATAATTAATATTTTAATCAAACAAATTACGTCAAAAAATTGAGTATTTCATCCTCATCGATTTGACGTCCATCTCGATTTTTTTTTTGTATTTAACGTTTTTGACTTTTTTTTTATGTCAGATAATATATTTGTATAATATTCATTATAAATATTTATGTGCATTAATATGTTTACAACTCTTTAATATTTTTGCATTAGTATCATATTTATAAATTTTCAGTATTCATACAACACTATGAAATTCATCATTAATATATATTTTCATTATAACATTCATCATGAGCGTACATTTTCTTTAAAACATTTATCATGAATATTATATATATATATATATATATATATATATATATTCACGTGTATACAGTAACTCTTCAATATTCATACATCAATATGATAGACACTATTCATCATGAATATACATATTATTTATAATGAATATTTATATATGTTCACGTGTATTAAAACAACTTTTCAACATTCATACATCAGTATGATATTCGCATATACATTTTTGCTATAACATTCATCATGAATATTTATGCATGATCACGTGTATACAATAATTCTATATATTTATATCAATATGATATTTATCATAAATATTAATTTTCACCATAATATTCATCATGCATATACATATTATTCATCATGAATATATTATATTTTCAACTCTACATACTTTACGTTTTATTTCTATTTATTTATTGGGGTCTCGATTGATCTGGATGAGTTCTCGATTCATCTAAATAGATTTTCTGATCCATCTCGATAAAAGTTAAACCTGATAGGTTATTGTTTTATACAAACAAACACACAATAAATTAATAGGTTCTCAATCGGTCTCGATAAAAATTGAAGGTGTTATGTTATGATTTTAACACACAACCGCATACCAAGTCAATGGATGGGTTTTCGATTAATCTTGATTGGTGTCGATCGGTCCCAATGGGTTCTCGATGGATTTTGAAATGTTCTTGATAGGTATTATAACATCCTCAAATCTGGAAAGAGCGACTAATTTAAAATTTTCATTAATACAACAAATAAAGGGTAAATCCCTTTTCTATTAATCAATACTTGAATTAACTCGAATGTCGAATCTAAAATCACCATCAACAAAAGATAGACCAAGCCTTACATAAAGATTAAATTAAGGTCAGGTGTTACTATTACTCAATAATTGGTGCTATCTCCAAAGGTGAAAGACATCAACAATAAGCTAAAACCTTCTCATGCAACTATCTAACACTCATCTCATCACAGTATCGCTAGTATCATCTCTCCATGGACCTGATGCACATGCCGACAAAAGAAAAAGGTTAGGTTTAACGCTTAGAGAGTTCAAGCAGTTTTCATCATAATCATAAAACGGTAAAACTGAAAGGCCACTGATTAAATTATATTTTCGCAAATGAAATATACTTATCGTAAAAGCAAGATATTTCCAAACCCACCACTTTTTTGATGGAAACTCGTTAATCAAAATACCCAATTATACATAACCAAAACTCAATATTCACACAACCCAGAATAAAACTATAGAACATTAAAACGAAAACATAACTTTAATCAAGTTCTTTATACGACTAACTTACGCTTACCCTTAGAAGAACATAAAATATCATAAGATGATGGGGGAGACCCGATTTACTATTCGTTGTGATGGAACACATAAGTAAGTTACAAACCAATGTTATGGGAGCATTACTTATAAATAAGCTCACATTGACAGAACGAAAATGTCGAACTCCTTTGTGTTGGAATGAAATTTGTGAAAAACAGTTAGCTGGGCTTGAGTTAGTGCAGTAAACAGCTGATAAAATTTGCCAAATCCAGGAACGAATGAAAGTGGCTCAAGATCGACAAAAAATTTATGCAGATAAACGTCGTAAGCCGATTAAATTCCAAATTGGGGATAGAGTAATGTTAAAGGTATCAACATGGAAAAGGGGTAGTACGCCTTGGAAATAAAGGAAAGTTGAGCCCAAGGTATATTGGACTCTTTCCCACCATTGAAAGAATTAGGGAGGTGTCTTACAAACTAGAACTTCCATTGGAGTTAAGTGGTATTCATAACACTTTTCATATGTCAAATTTGAGGAAGTGTTTAGCAAATACAGACGTAGTTGTGTCTCTACCAGAAATTAAAATTAATGAGAGATTATGTTTTGAAGAAATCCCTGAAGCCATTACTGACTTCAAGGTAAAGAAACTGCAGAATAAAGAGATCAGGTTAGTAAAAGTTCAGTGGCGTTATCATCAAGGGCCGGATGCCACCTA